AACTCCGCTCGATTTTTTCCTGAGGACACGTGAAAAGTCTAGCTTATAATGATATCCCAACCATAGCACATAACATGCAGGAAAGAATTGTACACGCTTGCAATGCCATTCCTGCAGTTATGATTGAACGCACAAGGAAAAACTTTGTACTTCGTATTCGAAAATGCCTTGAAGTAAATGGAAATCATTTGGAACATTTGTTAGAATAAAGATTTTGCCCAAAAAACACGAAATGTTCACTTTCCAATTCTTTTCTGAATTATTGTTATTTTTTTCATTTAATGTAATTACAAGGTCGTGGTGTTGTATACCTTTGAATTCGTCTTGATGTCCACTACAATATTGCATTACAAAAAACACGTTGTCTGCAAAAAAATGACGATGACCTTGAAAATCGGGAATGGAAACGACCTTGCCAAAAAATTCACAGATCGCAATATCCCTCATTCTAAACCCAACAACTTTGTCCTCACACAATTTTGCGTATCAGTAAAGGTAATGAAGATATTAACGAATCCATGTTAAACGGAACACCCTGTATTGTGTGATAAGAGATTCTGGGTTCGTTCCCCACCACGTGTCTCTCAAGAATTTAATTATGTTTATGGCTCGTGAGCACTTTTTTTGAATTAGGTCAATTTGCTGGCTAAATGTCATTTTGTAATCGAAAGTTACGCCCAAAATGTGAGCGGATTCGCTTGATTTGACGGTGGTATTATTTATTTTATTTCAGTTTGTCCTGGTTGTATGTTACGTTTGTTAAAGTGTATGAAAATAGTTTTGTGTGTCGATAGTTCCAATCTTATGTTACATAAATTATCATGAATTGCAGTGATCTCTTTTTCGAGTGTTTGTTTTCGTTTGCCATATACAGTTATATAGTCTGCGTATTTGGAAATCGTTACACTTTTGGGAAAATTTTCTGCTATTTTGGAAATGAATATGTTGAATAATAAAGAATTTAAAACTCCTCCTTATGGTACACCTTTATACATTTTCTTAGCCCTGAACTGAAGCGTCTGAGTAAACTGATCTTTCGGAGATTAAGGATTTAATGAATTGAATTGTGTTAGTGGGACATCCGATACCTGCTAACTGTTCTAGAAGAATGTCTACATTTACATTATTAAATGCCCTATCAATGTCTCTAAGTATACTACCAGGAGACTTCTTTTTATTGCTGAAGGCTTCTTCTACGTTCAATGTTAAGTTTGTCAGGTTATCTATTCTATTCTACATTCTACCCACCATTCTATTCTATTTTTTAGCATAGATTCGAAAAGTTTACAGAGACATGAAGTTAAGGAAATGGGCCTGACTTTTTTCCCGTCCGTTTTACTGATGAAGTGGATTTTCTCCACTCATCTGGGTAATTATTCTTAGTGTACATTTCGTTGAATAAGTTTGAATTTTAATGGTAGTTTTTGGAGGATTTCGTTGTCAATTTCATCGATACCAGGAGCTGAATTGGCGTTCTTGCTATAATGAGCGGTGTTAAATTCAATAAAGTTAAATGGAGAGCTCAAAAATTCGTTTTCGTCGCATATTGGAAACCAGTCAGGATCGTTGGGTACCTAGGGGGGGCTAATTTTATCTAGGGCTTCCCTGCTTTGGTTTTCCCGTTAATGGTTCTCAGACCTGTGAGAAGGTGTGACTTTGACCCATTTGTTTTTTAGGATTTTGCTGGTGTTCCATACATAAGTTTTGCTACAGTTAAAGTCTAGGTTTTCTACAAATTCTTTGAATTTTCCCCTTTTTTCCTCTCTAAAAGTTTTTCTAGCTAGGGCCGAAAGTTTTTTATAATTTATGTCTTCTTTGAGGTCTTTTATGAATCGTTATTTTTTAAAAGCTGCCTTCCTAAGTCGTTTGACCTTCTTACCTTCTAGATCCCACCAAGGTACAGGGTTTCTGTGGAGTTTGTTGTTTACTATTCTTTTTCTCGGTGTGTTTGATTTGACAGCACTGGTTATCATACTTGTAAAAGCGGCATATTTTTCTTGACCTGTTAATTTGTCATATTCGGTTGACAATAAGTAGTGAAAGTTTTCGTCTAGGTTTTGGCAAACATTTATCCTATTAGTTCCTTTTGACTTGATATTAAAGGATTTTTTGTGATATACAACCTTTTTCAGGTTGAAGTCTATAAAAATCTGATAATGGTCAGAACCCCAGGTTTCGTCGTTCACTTTAACGTTAATTTTATCGGCAATATTAAATGAAGAAAATATTACATCGAGATTCGATGTTGTATTGTGTTGTACATATGTGGAGGATTTGAAGTTATGCAGGAACAAGTTCGATTTGCTGAAGTTTTTAAGGAGTCTTTCACCGTTAGAATCACTTTTCTTACAGTTCCAATTTTTGTGGTGGGCATTAAAATTCCCCATTAAAATTGTGTGATTTTTCTGGTCGGTATTATCAAGTATTTGGTCCCATTGAGACTGTGAAAGAGTTACCCCGGGGGTTCTGTAACAAACAATGATACCCGAAACGGGTTTAACATTAGTGATTTTAATGCCAGCTAATTCTACGGAATCGTCAGGAGTCTTAAAAATATTGAGTTCTACGTATGCAAGGTTTTTGTGAATTAAGATAAGAATTCCGCCTCCTCTTGAATGGGGGCGGTCTTTTCTGAAGGTTTTGAAGCTGCTGTAGTGGAAGTTTTCCTCTTGAGGTGTTCTTTTTGAGAGCCAAGATTCCACAAATATGAAAATATCCAAGTCTGTGAGAATTTTGGAGAGTTCGTCGTTTCTTCTCATAATGCTTCTTGGGTTCCAAAACATTAACTTCAAATCTTTGATTTGAGTTTTCGTCATAGGTGAGCGAGTTGATTAGGTATTATGATATATCAAAGTCGGATGATTCACATTCTGTTTACCGAGGGGTGTAGCTCAGGGGCATGTTATCTGGAATTGCGATTTGTCCACCCGGTAGGCTGGTTCTTAATTTCTTCGTAAATCTGTGTACAGGTAACCCTCCTATAACACGGTAGATAGGTTCCTAGAAAATGCCGTGTTGTGTGAAACCGTGTTATATGAGACCCAGAGCCAGTACAAAAAGGGGGGTTACGTTCCGAAAACTTATTAAAAACAAACATTTCTTTTTAATTCCATATAAGCAACTTAATTTTTATTAAAAATATAAATATACGTATGACACAAAACGAAACAAAACAAAAAATATTATTTTCATTTAATGTAACCTTAATTTAATAAATTTCTTCAAACGAGAACGTTTTTTCGGTTAAACGATATCACCTTCACTTTCTGAACCTTCTTCTTCATTTAGATTTTTTGCACTTTCTATTCTCTTTAAAAAATCTGTAATTTTGGTTTGTTTGCTGGTTCTTACAAGGTCATTATAGATTTCATTGTATGAAGATAGACAATTTTGCAGCTCCCTTTTAAATTTTCGGCTTCTTTCAGCGGAAGGGTCTGCATTCAAGGAAAATGATTCAAGATTTTCAGCTAAGCTTAGGCCTTCTTCTAATTTTTTTAATGATAAATTATTAACTTTACAATCTTTATCAGTGCTATTGTCCTCAGAATCGATTTGATTTCCAACTTCGGATGCCATTTCCATCAAATCCGCTTCGTCAACTTCTTCTTCCACTAATAGAATTGAACGTCCTCAATAGTCATATCCACAAAGCCTGCGCCTCCGATCGATTTAGCAAGTTCTAATATGCCACCAGTTTTTAATTTTCTGACGATTCAAGCACGTTTTCTATTTCAACTGAAGCTGGCCATATCTTCTTCCAACATGCATTTAACGTTGATGTTTTTAGTTCTTTCAGCGACAAAGATATGACGTCGATGCAGTGCTTAATTGAAAATTGCTTCCAAGCTTCCATTACATTAATTGATTTCGAATTGGTTACGTCTAAAATCCACTGTAATGTTCTTCTTATGTAATAAGTTTTAAAGGTATAAATAATACCTTGATCCAATGGTTGGAGCAACGAAGTAGTGTTAGGTGGTAGGAACACTATTTTGACGTTGAGATGACTCAAATCTTGTGGGTGACATAGAGCATTCCTATGACAATAGTAATAGCGCCTTGAAGCTCAAATTTTTCCGTTTTAAACAATTTTCAACGTTAGGCACAAAACAATTTAAAAACCAATCTTTAAATAAATTTCCAGTCACCCAAGCTCGTGGATTTGCTTTCCAATATACCGGTAAGGTGTTTTTATTTACGCCTTTAAGTGCACGGGGATTTAAAGATCTATAAACTAGCAAGGGTTTTGTCATAAAGTCTCCCGACCCATTACTGCACAAAAGTAGCGTTATACGATCATTAGACACCTTAAATCCGGGAGCAGTCTTTTCTTTTTTCGATATAAAGGTTCTACTGGGTATATTTTCCCACCAAAGCCCAGTTTCGTCGACATTGAAAACTTGATGTGCTGTATATCCTTGCTGTTCTATAATGTTTTGAATTTTTTCTGGATACGTCCTGGCAGCTTCATGATCAGCCGACGCAGTTTCTCCTGGAATTTTTATGCTATGAATTGCAAAGCGCTTTTTAAATTTTTCGAACCAACCTTTACTTGCCACAAAATCTGGGTTGACAGAAGATTCTCCATGTTCTTTAAGGTGTTTGTAAATTTTAAGTGCTTTTTGCTTAATGATGTTATCATCCAATGGAATTCTTTTTTTACAGCTATCATCAATCCAAATGCTGAGTGCCTTTTCCATTTTCTCAATTATTGGCGTCCGGGGACGAGCTGCATATTTTGCGGATATCGAAGATCTTGCAGCAACTGCACTTCTTACTTCTTTTTCATTTTTCTTAATAGTCCGGACTGTTGCTTCATTTAAATTAAGACTTTTTCCAATGTGAGCTGCTTTTTCTCCTTTTAAAAGACGATCCAAGATTTGTATCTTTACTTCTAAAGAAATAAATTTTCTCTTAAACGTTGTTTTTTTTTATCTTTATTAGATATAGCTTGGGGCTGAAACTTGATTTTCCAAAAATAAGTCTTAAAGACGAAAAAGTCACTCTTTAACATATCGTGGCTCGACGCAGACTGCCGACCAGCCGCAATTTAAAAGAAACAAGACTGTCTTCTTTGTCCACTTCACCGTTTTTCTCATGATGGGATAATATGATAAATACTGATCTGCCAAATCTACACCCATCATATATTTGTTATAGTCTATGACGGAATGCGGTTTTATAATTTCTTGTTTCGTTTTCCAGTGCATTTTATTGGTATTCGTTAATTCTCCCGAATGTATCATGGAAACCATGTATACGATCTTCTGTTTCGGCTTCCACGCCTGTACTAAAACTTCACCCTTTCTTTTACAAGTATATTCTCCAGTTTTCAATCTGAGATGCCGTAAAGACTCGGAAACACCTCTATTTGCTCTAATTGTACCGCAAACTCGTGTACCATTTTTCATAAGCAATTCTGCGGTATTAATGCTGTTATAATAGTTGTCCATGTATAAGTGGTATCCCAAACATATATTTTTATCAAGTAATGACATTATTGTCTGGTCCAATTTTTTGCTTTCTGCACAGTATATTTCCATGTTGGAAATATATCCGCTTCTAGCTTCGCATAGCATACGGCAAAGTAGGCCGTACTTTATTATTTTTGCCGGATTGTATGTTTTTATAGATAATTTTCCACGCCATGGAATAATGGATTCATCAAGCGAAAGTTCTTTCCTAGGCGTGTATACCGATTTAAATTTATCTAATAAATAGCTCAGTATGGGCTGAATCTTCTCGAGCTTATTAGAACCGGTTATTGTTTGATTGTTCGAATAATGCCACGTGTTCCAAATCTGGCGAAATCTATTACGTGGCATTATAGTGGAGAACGATGGTGTTTTCGTATAAAACTCTGAGGACCAGTAATCATTTTTTACATCTTTCTTTACCTGGCCCATCATTATAATCATGCCAAGAAATTTTTTCATCTCGGCTAGAGTAATATCATTTCACTTTGACATTTTCTTCCCCTCACTCATCTTGTCCTTATTTTGCTGGTAATAGATGTTGGATTCATTTACCATTAATTAAAACAAATCATTGCCAATAAACAATTCGACGACTTCTTTTACGCTTTTCTTATCAGTAGGAAAAATCTTTG